AAATGACAGTTATACAGGTTTTCAAACCTATCTATGGCAGCACCTTGAATCACAATGACTACAAAAGTTTATCTGTTGAAGACGTGCGTTAAGTAATTACATTAATGATGTCAATCTCATTAAGTAATTACTTTAATGATGTCAAACTCATTAAGTAATTACTTTAATGATGTCAAACTCATTAAGTAATTACTTTAATGATGTCAAACTCATTAAGTAATTACTTTAATGATGTCAGACTCATTAAGTAATTAYTTTAATGATGTCAGACTCATTTGCACAGAGAGCCACAAAAGCGCTGTGGCCCTCAAGGGGCCAGTTGTAATTATCTGTGAAGTTTTGTGTTCAGTTTCAGTAAAACACAAAACATCATGTTCCTCATCTTGTTGCTACAGCAGAGCACTGCTAACAAACAATAACTGAGCTCTACCTGATATTTCCTGTATAGAAACAGTTTTAACACATTCTCTTTAACACGGAAAAGTACTACGTGTACGACTGACTGAATGTGAAATACATAATACAGAAATACTATTAAAAGTAAAAGAAAGAGAGTTTTTCTCACTGTTGAGTTGTGAGGAGTAGCTACCATCTCTCCCACTTTCCAACAGTGATCTCCCATTGGAGGGGCGTTCCACTTTAAATTTACGGCCAGTACAACWGAGCCGCAGCAAAAGTAGCCAGAGAAAATGCAGYGAAACTGAGATTTTACACAGCTACTGGYTACTTTTGAACCGTGTACACCTYCATCTAGTGGTGGGATGTCATCATTTTATGAGTWAAGTCATCAACATGCRTTATGGGAGATGTAGTTTATGGTCAATGCTTGACAGCCAAGCTGCTATTAGAGCTCTCCAGGGTCCACACTTCACATCATTACTAACTTTGGAGTGTTACGAAGCAGTCAACCAACTGGGGAGAGATAACAGTGTTACTGTTAAATGGGTACCAGGACATACTGGCATTAATGGTAACAAAAGAGTTGACTAACTTTCAAAAGCTGGCAGTCAAGCCCACTTCAAAGGACCAGAGCCTGTTGTAGGTACCTCAACAACAGTCTGTAGGACTGCCCTACAG